CGAAGTGTGTAAATCATCCAAAATTTGACGTAAAATTCAAAATGGCCGACTTCCTGTTGGGTTTAGGCTATGGCTCCAAGAGACTTTTTTGTGCGTCTGGACAAGATACACGTACCACAGAAAATTCGTGCACGTAGGTGAAACGTGCGGCGGGGGCTGCTTCGTTAAAGGTCACTTTCTATTGCCAGCAGGTGGCGCTATGACTGTGGGTGAATGTCGGCATGTACATGTGTTCAGGGCGGGACTCTCATCCTACATGTACAGTTTGGTGCAGATGTGAGCATATACACTGAAGTTACAACAACTTCCTGTGTCATGGCGAAGACTTGATCTCTGACGCCACGCCACGGACACACCCATTGACAAAAACTCACAAATAGCACAACTTTTCATTTTCAATGCCTTTAGAAGGCACAGCACAAATTTGAAGTCGGTCGGACTAAATCCCTAGGAGGAGTTCGTTAAAGTACGAAGTGTGTAAATCATCCAAAATTTGACGTAAAATTCAAAATGGCCGACTTCCTGTTGATTTTAGGGCATCGCTCCAAGAGGCTTTTTTGTGCGTCTGGACAAGATACACGTACCACAGAAAATTCGTGCACGTAGATAAAACGTGCGGCGGGGGCTGCTTCGTTAAAAGTCACTTCCTGTTGCCAGCAGGTGGCGCTATGACTGTGGGTGAATGTCAGCATGTACATGTGTTCAGGGCGGGACTCTCATCCTACATGTACACTTTGGTGCAGATGTGAGCATGTACACTGAAGATACGACAACTTCCTGTTTCATGGCGAATCATCGACGCCACGGACACGCCCATTGACGAAAACTCGCAAATAGCACAACTTTTCATTGTCAATGCCTTTAGAAGGCACAGCAGAAATTTTTCATCGATCCGACTAAATCCCTAGGAGGAGTTTGTTAAAGTACGAAGTGTGTAAATCATCTAAAAATGGGGGGGGGTTAGGAGGAGGGGAAAAGTCCCGGCTAACGAGTGTTAGCCAGACTGGTGCACGGTCCTGTGATGTGCCTTCAGAGTCCCCAGAAAGTGAAAAGCACCTCCAAACTCCACATTTTCCCTTATAACAGACACAAAAGTGCATTACCTCTGCGATGGTTCCAAAAATTGTACTCCACGGGTCCTGTAGTTGTTGATTCTTTTATCCTTAATTCAGGCCGACTTGGTCCTGCTTCACTCTGCCTTGTTGCAACGTTTCAGAGGGCGGCTTGTCCTTCATCAGGCATAACAGAGTGGTATCTTTAAATGTCCTTTTCCTTAGGTTTCCCTTTAATTTGGTTCAAAAACGGTAAGTATTTTCCTTTTTTCCAGCTTGAGGTAAGTGTTTTCTTGCTCTTCTCTTCAGCTTGAGGCTTGTAATCAGAATAATATCTGCTAATTTTGTAATCTGCACCCTATTTGGGTGTCTGACGATTAAAATCCAATTTCTTAGTCTTCTCTTGCTTGAGGTTTCAGTTTTATATTTCCAGTGGGTCACAATAATCGCTGATGTTAAGTTTAGGTGTTGCAGCTAGGTAAGGATGTCCTCACTCTCCAGGGAAAGCTCCAGAATGACACACACGGCACTGGCTGGTTAGGAGGAGGGGAAAAGTCCCGGCTAACGAGTGTTAGCCAGACTGGTGCACGGTCCTGTGATGTGCCTTCAGAGTCCCCAGAAAGTGAAAAGCACCTCCAAAGGGTTAGGGAAGAAATTTTTGAAAGGGTTAGGGTTAGGGAAGAAATTTTTGAAATGTCGACGCCGAATGCGCAGGCCATCAGCTGCCAGCCAGTCCCGAGCCCTCACTTCTCATTGAGGCCCCCCGGAGTCAAAGTGCCCAGTCGGTGTATCCAGAGCCTCTCCTCACGTCGTCTCTGGGCTGTGGACCACCTGGGATTACATTGGAGGATAAGCGCGGTGAGCTGCGACCAGCCATGCTCAATAAAGTGCTTAACCAGGGGGATGTGTGTGTCTTTTTTCTTTACAATGTTGTACCTGTGTTGTGTGAACCTGGTCAACAAGGTGTTCCCTGTTTCTCCAACGTACTGCATGTTACACTGCCTACATCTAATCAAATAAACACAATTCTTGGAATGAACACTGCCATGCCTATGTGTGGTAAAAACATTATTGTTGTGGGGATTCAGCACCCAGGGGTGGTGCCTAAAAAATTCTCCGTGCCCGATGGGTCTAGAGTCAGTGGGTGGTGCCAGCTTGGCCCTAACTAAAGTGTCCTGCAGGTTTTTGTTTTTTCTGTAGGCAGCAATGAGCCTATGGTTCTGTAACAGCTGAGTAGTAGATGTCAAGTGGTGGAAATTATTTTTAAGTGTCCTAACCAGCTGTACTGCTGCGGGGGAATAGGTGGTGATGACAGGAAGGAGAGAATCAGTGGTGAGCAATTTGGGGTGCTGAAAGGTTCTCAAGGCTCTGCGTAGGAAGGACCTACAGTACCCTCTGCTGGACAGAGCCGAGAACAGCACCTTCGTGGCCGCTTTAAAATCGTCTGCTCTTGTACAAATCCTGTGAAATCTCAGGAGCTGTGACTTTATCAGACCTGCGAATGTGTGTTTGGGATGGAAACTGGATTTGTGTAGTAGGGCATGTGTGTCTGTTTCTTTAAAGAACACCTTGAGGTCAAGTCTGAGAGTCGAATCAAAATCTGGGCCCTTAAAAGTGGTGGTGTCAAGGAAGTCCACAGCAGTCTGGTCAATGCAGTATTTCAGTTTGATGGATGGATTGTGGTTGTTCAGGGAGATCACAAAGAGATCAAAATCCTCTCTCGAATAGGGCCAGATTCCCCAAATATCATCCAGGTATCTATAATAATAAAGGGGTCTTTTGGGACAGGAGTTGAGTGCAGCTGTTTCCCATTCTGCCATGAAAATATTGGCGTAAGCAGGTGCGAATTTTTTACCCATAGCTGTTCCCTTAATTTGGAGGAAGAATCGTCCGTTGAACTCAAAGTCGTTTTTGGTCAGATTTATTTCCAGGAGCTGCAACAACTCTCTGTCTGGTCTTTTGGCGTCTGGGAATTGTAGGAATATGTTTTTAATGGCCTGAATGCCTTCTGAAATGACAATATTTGTATATAAACTATCAATGTCCATGGTAAATAAAAATGCATTAGGGGGTACGCGGATCTGCTTAATTCTTTCAACAAAATCATATGTGTCTTTGATGTAGCTGGCATGTCTAATCGAAAGAGGATTGAGATAGTGGTCTATGAACTCAGCTGTGTGATAGGTCTCACTGCTGCAGTCGGACACGATGGGTCTCCCAGGAGGGATTTCCCCGGGTCTGCTCCACCCAGCAGGGGGTTTGTGGATTTTAGGCAGCATGTAAAAGAGTCTAGGTCGGGGTTCGCTGTCTCCCATCAGGTACAGTTTTGTTTATGGTTGATGAATTTTTTGTCATGTAGTGATTGTATAATCTTGTCAATTGCCGGGATTGTGTCCATGTAGATGGGTTTCTTTAATTTGGAGTAGTAAGTCGTGTCCAGTAGCTGTCTGTATCCCTCCCACAGGTATTGCTCTCTGTCCATAATCACTATTGCACTGCCCTTATCCGCTGGTTTGATGACAATGTCTTTGTTGTGTCGTAATTGATCTAATGCTTCAGATTCGAATTTGTTCAGGTTCTGTGGGACCCAGCCCAGTCTGAAGTGGTCCTGGAAGTGCTGTAAGTCCGTCTGAATGAGTGTTTCAATTTCGGGGGGTAATTTGCCCTTCGGGGGAACCCACTGCGATTTAGGGGTGAACAGTGGGCGGTCTGTGTCGGGTCTGTGTGCAAAGTAAGTCGCTAATTTGAGTCGTCTGTGGTACTGTTGGATGTCAAATCTGATTTGTTTTTTCAAGTCCGAGTTGCTGCTGATTGAGGGAATGAAATTTAGACCCCTGCTGAGTAGAGCAGACTGGGCTGCAGACAATTCAAAATTCTGGCACAAATTAATAACAATTTTTCCCCCCGTCTGAGGACGTGTGTTCACGGGGGTACCTACTTTAACGACTCCAACCAGTGGTCCAGCATGTGCTGGGCCATGGAGTGAGACCAGTGGATGCCGTCTCTCTCGGTGGTGAAGTCGTTCCTTGGGAGAGCAGGGATAAACAGCTGATTGTTAGTGAGATAGTGGTTCAGCTGTCTGAGGTTCTCCTGCTCTTCGTGAGGCAGGTGTCTGGAGAAATTAATCTCCGGCACCATGACTGTGGCCTGGGGAAAAGCCAGCTTCGCCATCCTGATTGCCCTCTGTACCTGTTTAACAGTAGTCATTGTTTTTTGTGCCCTGTTATTAACCCCAAAGGAGAGAATCAGTTTTTCAATGTTAGCAGACACATTGGTCCTAGCCAAAATGGCTTCTGCGTGCCTGAAGGTGGCCCCAGGGAAGCTGTCTACTTGCAGGTCAGGGCACTGGAAAGGGGGAAACCTGGCAACATTTGAGTCACCAATGATCAGCCACTTGCTCCTGGCTGACAGGCACCACTCTTTCATTTTCCTGCTGGTGTTAATGTGTCGTGTGGGGCGACGTACCGGTGTGTTTGCTGCTATTGCAGCTGCAGGTGGGCCAAAGCTCAGCTGTCTCTGAACAGGCCCCAAAGCAGGTTTTGGGGCAGGAGGCAGCGGTGCTACCTGCGGAGATGCCTCCACCATGATTCCCTCGTCGGCCGTGGCCGTGGTGCTGGGGTCCTCAGGAGGAGCTGGAGGCTGAGGTGAGCTGGGGGCCACGCTCCGGCGCCTTGCGGTGCGCTTAGGTCTCTGCTCCTTGGGCTCCGGCTGCGTGTCAGGGACGATCCCAGAGGAAGGAGAGAGAGAGGGAGGGAGGACAGGTGCAGACAGACAGGTGAGGGGAGAGGAGAGAAAGTCAGGAGGGAGAGAAGGGAGGAAAGGAGGAGACTGAGGATCCGTGGGCCCGTCCGTCCTCTGCTCCGTCATCGTGGCCTTGGAGAGGAGACACGGTCCGGCCGGTGTTGAGATGTCTGGCAGGAGGAGGTCCACTGCCGGTGGGGCGTGTACCTCCGCTGTCACGCTGAGCTGACGCGCCGGCGCTGGGTTCCCCTGTGCTGCAGGCGGCCGGTGTGGAGGCTGGGTGGCGGCAGGTGGTTGAGCAGGTTCTGGGGCCGCTGGTGTGGGCGGCGGAGCCGCCGGCGTAGAAGGTGGGGCTGCCGGTGGCCGCAGAGTCTGAGCAGTCCCAGGTTGAATGCCAACCGGCCCGGGGGGCAGAGCTGTCGCCGTCTGAGTCTGTGTGTGTGTGGAAGTCTGTGTGATGCTGGGCACCGTTGAGGTCGGGTCCACTACTACTGCGTGTGCTGCTACGGGAGGGTGGGCTGGCGGGTCAGGCTCGGCGTGAGCCGGTGGGGCTCTGGAGAGGCGCTGGATCAGGAGCACCTGTGTGTCATCCAGCGTATCTTGGTGCAGTCTGCGCCCAAAATGGCGTCTGGCCCAGGCCGAGGCCACCTCAAAGTTCTCTCGCCAGTCAGTCACTTCTAACTCTACCAATATCTGCAGGTCCGTCTGAATGCAGTCCCTGTAGTGGTCCCTGAGTATCAGCAGTGTGTTGTAGGCCCAGTTTCTGGCGTTACCGTCAATGAGTGACAGGGTCGTGGCGTTTGGAGCCGCCGGTTTGATAACAGTGGCCAGATTGTGGGTCATCTTAGTGATGGAGTTGGGTGGTTCTGGTGCCATGACATTGCTAAGGTGGTGTTTAGCTTTGATCAGTCTGTAAACCACTCTGGTTCTTAAGGTAAAGTCTGGGTCAGACGGCGGAGGGTCGCCTGTGCCGCGTTGCCCTCGGGTCGCTCTATTGAACCCCTCGTACCTGTTGCTGCGTCTGGAGAAGTCGGTCCTGGTTCGGACCGGCGGAGGTCCGCGGCGGTGATGAACTGGCGGTCCGCGATGGTCCTCTCGGCGCGGGGGCTCGCGGCGGTAGGTCCGCGTAGCTGGCGGGGCCCTGACGGCCGCTGCGTAGGAGCGGGGAGGCTGCCGCGGCTCGTGGTAGCGGCGGGAATACGTGCTCTCTCTTACCCGTGAAGGTGGCGAGCGGCCCCGCTGCTGCATCCGTCCGCGTCGGTAGTGGACCCGCGTCCAGTCCTCCTCTCCTCGGTGCGTCATGTTTGCGGTGTTCAGCAGGTTTTTCAGTGTGCGGCAGTGTCGGGAAGACAGCTAGCTGGCACTTCAAAACTAAGCTAAACAGTAAAAAAGTAAAAAAAGCGAGTCGTGATGGTCCGTTTGCAAGGTTTTATTATTATAAAAAAATAAATAATAAACCTGCAGTAATGCAACGTTTCGGTCTTTAAAAAGACCTTCTTCAGGCATAAAATTCTTACTGTGCGTTGAGTTCTGTTGTCCAAAGACGAGCGAAAACAAGGTCTGAGAGCGGGACAGGAAGTCAGCAACTTCTATGACCCTTGACCCCTCCCACCACCTGGGAAGTGAGAAATCCTCCAGTGGCGCCCTCTAGTGGGTAGTCATTTTGTAGTTTTTAACCTAATTTAATTGTAGTGCCAGATCAATATGAAATTAACACTCCGTGTATATCAATTACCGTAATTATAATGTCCTGATTGGTTAGGTTTAGGTCAGAGGGTCAAGTGGTTAAGGTTAGGGCTCAATTAACCTGGTAAGGCTGTATGAAATTGTTCATCCCGCCCCACACTATCAGACCATGGGTTAGGGTTAGGGAAGAAAAAATTGAAATGTCGACGCCGAAGGCGGCGACATTGAGTGCACAGGCCATCGGCTGCCCGCTAGCTCTTAGCCCTTACCTCTCATTGAGGCCTCCTGGAATCAAAGTGCCCAGACGGTGAATCCAGAGCCTCTCCTCACGCCGTCTCTGAGCTGTGGACCATCTGGGGTTACACTGCAGGATCAGTGCAGTGAGCTGGGACCAGCCATGCTCAATAAAATGTTTGACCAGTGGGATGTGTGTGTCTTTCTTCCTCCCAATGTTATACCTGTGTTGTGTGAACCTGGTCAAAAGGGTGTTCCCCGTCTCACCAACATACTGAATGTTACACTGCCTACATCTAATCAAATAAACACAATTCCTGGAATGAACACTTCCATGCCTATGTGTAGGAAAAACATTGTTGTTGTGTGGGTTCAGCACCCAGGGGTGGTGCCTAAAAAATTCTCCGTGTCCTATGGATCTAGAGTGAGTAGTTGCTGCCAGCTTGGCCTTGACTAAAGTGTCTTGCAGATTTTTGTTTTTCCTGTATGCAGCGATGAGTCTATGGTTCTGTAACAGCTGGGTGGTGGATGTCAAATGGTGGAAATTGTTTTTGAGTGCCCTAATAAGCTTTACTGCTGCTGGGGAATAGGTAGTGATAACAGGGAGGAGAGAGTCAGTATTGACAACTTTAGGGTGCTGAAAGGTTTTCAAAGCTCTGCGCAAGAAGGACCTACAGTACCCTCTGTTGGCCAGAGCTGAGAACAGCACTTTTGTGGCTCCTTTGAAATCCTCTACTCTAGTACAAATTCTATGGAATCTCAGAAGTTGTGACTTTATTAACCCTGCGAATGTGTGTTTTGGATGGAAACTGGATTTGTGTAGCAAGGCATGTGTGTCTGTTTCTTTGAAGAAAACCTTGAGATCAAGCCTGAGGGTGGACACAAAATCTGGGCCCTTGAAGGTGGTTGTGTCAAGGAAATCCACAGCAGTCTGGCTAATACAGAATTTGAGTGAAATGGATGGATTGTGATTGTTCAAGGTGGTCACAAAACTATCAAAATCCTCTCTCGAGTAGGGACAAATTCCCCAAATGTCATCCAAGGGTTAGGGTTAGGGGTTAGGGTTAGGGGAAGGGAAAAAGAGCTGGCTAACGTCTTACAAAGCTCTGCGTTAGCCAGTCTGGTGCACTGTCCTGTGATGCGCCTCCAGAGACCCCAGAAAGGCAAAAACACTCCCTCCTTGTTTGAGTTTTGAAGCATTTCCCACATTTCCCATAGTAAAAAACAAAAGTGCATTACCTTTGCCTTTGTTCAAAAAATTGGACTTCACGAATCCTTTAATGTCTGCATCCTACTTGGATGTCTTACGATGAATTTTCCTATCTTCCTGTCCTATTAATCCAGGCCTACTTGGTCCTGCTTCACTCTGCCTTGTTGCAACGTTTCGGAGAACTATTTGTCCTTCATCAGGCTTTGCAGAGTGGCATCTTTAAGTTTCCTTTTTCTTTAGGTTTCACTTGAATGAGGTTCGAACACGGTCAATATTTTCCTTTTTAACTTCAGCTTGAGGCTATGTATTTTAGGTTTCCAGGATTCTTCTGCTTGAGTCTTTTCCAATTGAGGTCTTCAGTGAGTCACGGTAAGTACTGAGGTTAAGGTGAGGGATTTGGGCTGGGTAAGAGTGTCTCCACCCCCGTGAGGCCCTCTAGAGGACACACACGGCGCTGGCTGGTTAGGGGAAGGGAAAAAGAGCTGGCTAACGTCTTACAAAGCTCTGCGTTAGCCAGTCTGGTGCACTGTCCTGTGATGCGCCTCCAGAGACCCCAGAAAGGCAAAAACACTCCCTCCTTGTTTGAGTTTTGAAGCATTTCCCACATTTCCCATCGTAAAAAACAAAAGTGCATTACCTTTGCCTTTGTTCAAAAAATTGGACTTCACGAATCCTTTAATGTCTGCATCCTACTTGGATGTCTTACGATGAATTTTCCTATCTTCCTGTCCTATTAATCCAGGCCTACTTGGTCCTGCTTCACTCTGCCTTGTTGCAACGTTTCGGAGAACTATTTGTCCTTCATCAGGCTTTGCAGAGTGGCATCTTTAAGTTTCCTTTTTCTTTAGGTTTCACTTGAATGAGGTTTGAACACGGTCAATATTTTCCTTTTTAACTTCAGCTTGAGGCTATGTATTTTAGGTTTCCAGGATTCTTCTGCTTGAGTCTTTTCCAATTGAGGTCTTCAGTGAGTCACGGTAAGTACTGAGGTTAAGGTGAGGGATTTGGGCTGGGTAAGAGTGTCTCCACCCCCGTGAGGCCCTCTAGAGGACACACACGGCGCTGGCTGGTTAGGGGAAGGAAAAAAGAGCTGGCTAACGTCTTACAAAGCTCTGCGTTAGCCAGTCTGGTGCACTGTCCTGTGATGCGCCTCCAGCGACCCCAAAAAGGCAAAAACACTCCCTCCTTGTTTGAGTTTTGAAGCATTTTTCCACATTTCCCATGGTAAAAAACAAAAGGGTTAGGGTTAGGGTTAGGGGTTAGGGAAGAAAAAATTGAAATGTCGACGCCGAAGGCGGCGACATTGAATGCACAGGCCATCAGCTGCCAGCTAGCTCCTAGCCCCCACTTCCCATCGAGGCCCCCTGGAATAAAAGTGCCCAGACGGTGAATACAGAGCCTCTCCTCAGGCCGTCTCTGAGCTGTGGACCAGTAGGGGTCACACTGCAGGATCAGTGCGGTGAGTTGGGACCAGCCATGCTCAATAAAATGTTTGACCAGTGAGATGTGTGTCTTTTTCTTCCTCCCAATGTTGTATCTGTATTGTGTAAACCTGGTCAAAAGGGTGTTCCCCGTCTCCCCAACATACTGAATGTTACACTGCCTACATCTAATCATTCAAATCCCCCATGATCAGCCACTTGTTCCTGGCTTACAGGAACCTCTTTTTCATTTTCCTACTGGTGTTAGTGTGTCGTGTGGGGCGACGTGCCGGTGTGTTTGCTGCTGTTGCAGCAGCAGCTGCAGGTGGGTCAAAGGTCAGCTGTCTTTGAACAGGCCCCAAAGCAGTTTTTGGGGCAGGAGGCAGAGGTGCTACCTGCGGAGATGCCTCCACCACGATTACCTCGTCAGCCGTGGCCGTGGCGCTGGGGTCCTCAGGAGGAGCTGGAGGTTGAGGTGAGCTGGGGGCCACGCTACGGCGCCCCGTGGTGCGCCTGGGTCTCTGCTCCTGGGGCTTCAGCCACGTGTCAGGGACGAACTCAGAAGACGGAGAGAGAGAGGGAGGGAGGACAGGTGCAGACAGATAGATGAGGGGAGAGGAGAGAAAGTCAGGAAAGAGAGAAGGGAGGAAAGGGGGAGACTGAGGATCTGTGGGCCCGTTCGTCCCCTGCTCTGTCATCGTGGCCGTGGAGAGGAGACACGGTCCGGCCGGTGTTGTGATGTCTGGCAGGAGGACGTCCACTGCAGGTGGGGCGTGTACCTCCGCTGTCACGCTGAGCTGACGAGCCGGCGCTGGGTTCCCCTGCGCTGCAGGGGGCCGGCGTGGAGGCTGGGTGGCGGCAGGTGGTTGTGCAGGTTCTGGAGCCGCTGGTGTGGGCGGTGGAGCCGCCGGCGTAGAAGGTGGGGCCGCTGGTGGCCGTAGAGTCTGAGCAGTCCCAGGTTGAATGCCAACCGGCCCGGGGGGCAGAGCTGTCGCCGTCTGAGTCTGTGTGGAAGGCTGTGCGTCGTCTATCTGTGTGGTGCTGGCCACTGTTAAGGTCGGGTCCACTACTACTGCTTGTGCTGCTGCGGATGTGTGGGCTGGCGGGCCAGGCTCGGCGTGAGCCGGTGGGGCTCTGGAGAGGCGCTGGATCAGGAGCACCTGTGTGTCATCCAGCGTATCTTGGTGCAGTCTGCGCCCAAAATGGCGTCTGGCCCAGGCTGAGGCTACCTCAAAGTTCTCTCGCCAGTCAGTCACTTCTAACTCTACCAGTATCTGCAGGTCCGTCTGAATGCAGTCCCTGTAGTGGTCACTGAGTATCAGCAGTGTGTTGTAGGCCCAGTTTCTGGCGTTACCGTCAATGAGTGACAGGGTCGTGGCGTTTGGAGCCGCCGGTTTGATAACAGTGGCCAGATTGTGGGTCATCTTAGTGATGGAGTTGGGTGGTTCTGGTGCCATGACCTTGCTAAGGTGGTGTTTAGCTTTGATCAGTCTGTAAACCACTCTGGTTCTAAAGGTAAAGTCTGGGTCAGACGGCGGAGGGTCGCCTGTGCCGCGTTGCCCTCGGGTCGCTCTATTGAACCCCTCGTACCTGTTGCTGCGTTTGGAGAAGTCGGTCCTGGTTCGGACCGGTGGAGGTCCGCGATGGTCCTCTCTGTGCGGGGGCTCGCGGCGGTAGGTCCGCGTAGCTGGCGGGGCCCTGACGGCCGCTGCGTAGGAGCGGGGAGGCTGCCGCGGCTCGTGGTAGCGGCGGGAGTACGGGCTCTCTCTTACCCGTGACGGTGGCGAGCGGCCCCGCTGCTGCATCCGTCCGTGTCGGTAGTGGACCCGCGTCCAGTCCTCCTCTCCTCGGTGCGTCATGTTCGCGGTGTTCAGCAGGTTTTTCAGTGTGTGGCAGTGTCGGGAAGACAGCTAGCTAGCACTTCAAAACTAAGCTAAACAGTGAAAAAGTGAAAAAAGCCAGTCGTGATGGTTCGTTTGCAAGGTTTTATTATTATAAAAATAAATAAATAATAAACCCGCAGTAATGCAACGTTTCGGTCATTAAAAGGACCTTCTTCAGGCATTAAATTCTTACTGTGCGTTGAGTTCTGTAGTACAAAAACGAGCAAAAACAGGGTCTGAGAGCGGGACAGGAAGTCAGCAACTTCTATGACCCTTGACCCCTCCCACCACCTGGGAAGTGAGAGATCCTCCAGTGGCGCCCCCTAGTGGGTAGTCATTTTGTAGTTTTTAACCTAAAGTACTTGTAGTGCCAAATCAGTTTGAAATTAACACTCAGTGTGTATCAATTACAGTAATTAAAATATCCTGATTGGTTAGGTTTAGGTCAGAGGGTCAGATGGTTAAGGTTAGGGCTCAATTAACCTGGTAAGGCTGTATGAAATTGTACATCCTGCCCCACACTATCAGGCCATGTCAGACACTCACACACACCATCACATATACTTGACTAATATAAGGGAAGGGGAACAGAACCTGACCCCCATCACGATGGGAGACAGGAGGTGCACGGTCCTTCCCCCGGTAGTCCCTTCCCCCACGGTAAGAGAAGTGGTTTTGACGTCCGTCAAAACCTGTTCGTGGACGATCTTCATAGACCCCCTGTCCAGGGGGTCGGCGTCGTCCGCCGCGGCGCACCACGGTCCATCCGTCGCCATGAGTGAGGCTCATGACTGAGTGGTCTTATTAAGCCCTCTATAACCTAAAAGCGAAAAAAAGTTTTTACTCTCAGAAATAACTGAAATTGTTTTTTTAAAATTAAAACCCGAAAAGATTCAAAATAACGGAAAAATTATTTTTTTCGAACGAAAATTAAATTTAAGCTTTCTGTAAAAAAAGTAATTCTACTGTGTGTGCCCGTGCGCGACGTTTCGACCCCAATGGGTCTTCTTCAGGCTAAGGCACAATACAGGTGAGAAAAGAATGCTGAAACTGGCAGGCTGGCTGAGATGTTGCCTCATGGAGAGTCAGAGTAAGAATGAAGGAAGGAGGAGGCCACTCCCCTCAATTTATAGTCTCCCGTGCTTGTCATTCTGCCTCATAGGAATTTGTCCGTTTTTTAACCCTTGGATACTAATGAGTGTTTTATATTGAGTTAAAATGAATTTGTTTTTAACCCCTTCTATTCTGGATTATGCCAATTAGAATTTTATAGTATTTTTAGGCTGATGTAGTTATATACCTTGTTACATCTATTGAATTACAAGTAGTTTTTTTAAAAAAATAGTCAATGATGTTGTTGGATGAATTGTTTGTTGTTGTAGGCCCATAGATGTTTTTTTAAGGACTTATATCATGTGTTTTTAACCCTTTGCACACTGTTATTGTTTGGAATTATTACCGTTTAATTAGTGTTACTGATAGAATAACAACGAATTTGTTTTTAACCCCTTGTATGTCAATAATTGCTTTAATAGGTCTAGAATCATGTTTGCTTTTTAACCCCTTGCATGCCAATTGTTGTTAAATGAGATGTGACTTTTAATTTTAACTGATAGATGATATATAATAATTTTTATTAACTAAACGTCCACATAATTTGGGGTCAATCTGGTTAGGGTTAGGCAAGGGTGTAAAATGGTTAGGGTTAGGATAAGAGGTCGGGGCGTGGTTAGGATTAGGAATAGAATTCAGGATAACTGTAGGAAAATTAAGGAAGATGGAGAAAAATTGGGAAGACTGGGGAGAGAAAATTTGTGTTAGGCCTTCATTCCATGAACTCTAACTTTTTAACCTAATTTGTCAGTCTAATTATATTTTTTGTTCAATCCTGATGGTTCTATTGTACTTAATAGGTAGATCCATTTTCTTTCAATTTTCTTTCTTTCAGTGTCCGTCCAAAAGGAATTGCTTTGGATCCCTGCCACTCTAACAGCCAGCAAGCCATGGAAAATAAAATGTTTAACTATGGGGATCTGAGTTTCCTTTTTATTCCTGATATTATATCTGTGTTGTGTCATACGAGTTGAAATAGAATTCTTGGTCTCCCCAATGTATTGTATTCCACATTTGGAGCAGAAAATAATGTAGATACAGTTTGAGGTATGAGGGCTAAACCTTTGTGGGATTTCAAAAATAGTCTTATTAACCCTGTTGCGTACAAATTTTAGGCTACAGAAATATTCAGGTGTAGAATTGATTTTTGGTTGTCGTATGGGTTTAAGTTTTGCACGTACCAAAAGGTCCTTTAGATTTTTGTTTTTCCTGTAGGCTGAAATTACTTGATGGTTCTGTAACACCCCCAAATCTATCATTACTGATTTGAAATTGGTTTTCAGCTTATTGTTCAGAATCATACTGGCCGATGAGAATGTAGTGATTATAGGAATGATTGTATTTCGGGATTTCTGTTTCTGAACTTGGAAAGATTTGAGACACTGTCTCAGAAAGGTTCTCGAGTAACCTCGTTCACGTAATACTCTGAAAAGAATTTGGACTGCTTTCCAAAAATCCTCTGTCTGCGTACATATTCGACTGAATCGCAACAATTGGGATTTCACAATGCCCTTAAACGTGTGTTTTGGGTGAAAACTTGTTTTAAAAAGAAGGGCATGTGTATCCGTCTTTTTAAAGAACACTTTAACATCCAATGTGTGGTTCTGAATGAACGATGGTCCCTTGTAAACTGTGGTATCCAAAAAGTCTATTGAGTTTTGATTAGTTATGTGTTTGCATTTAATAGAAGGGTCATGGTTGTTTAAAATATCAATGAATTGGTCAAATTCCTGCTCTGAATATGTCCAAATTCCCCAAATATCGTCCAAATACCTGAGATAATAGAGAGGCCTCTTGGGGCATTTGGATAGGGCTTCCTCCTCCCAGTTTGCCATAAATATGTTGGCATAAGCTGGGGCAAACCTTTTGCCCATAGCTGTTCCTTTAATTTGTAAATAATATTCTTCATTAAATTCAAAGTCATTTTTGGTTAAATTAATTTCCAAAAGCTTTAATACTGCGTCATCTGGTCTGTTTTCATCAGGATATTTTTGAAATATTTTTTGGACTGCCAGTAAACCTGCCTGGGTATCGATATTAGTATAGAGACTCTCTATATCCATGGTAAAGAACTCCAAATTCCCCAAATATCGTCCAAATACCTGATAAATTCCCCAAATATCGTACAAATACCTGATAAATTCCCCAAATATCGTCCAAATACCTGATAAATTCCCCAAATATCGTCCAAATACCTGATAAATTCCCCAAATATCGTCCAAATACCTGATAAAGGGTTAGGGAAGGGGAACTGAACCTGACCCCCATCACGATGGGAGACAGGAGGTGCACGGTCCTTCCCCCGGTAGTCCCTTCCCCCACGGTAAGAGAAGTGGTTTTGACGTCCGTCAAAACCTGTTCGTGGACGATCTTCATAGACCCCCTGTCCAGGGGGTCGGCGTCGTCCGCCGTGGCGCACCACGGTCCATCCATCGTCATGAGTGAGACTCATGACTGAGTGGTCTTATTAAGCCCTCTATAAACTAAAAGCGAAAAAAAGGTTTTACTCTCTGAAATAACTGAAATTGTTTTTTTTAATTAAATAAAACCGAAAAGATTCAAAATAACGGAAAAATTATTATTTTCGAACGAAAATTAAATTTAAGCTTTCTGTAAAAAAAGTAATTCTACTGTGTGTGCCCGTGCGCGACGTTTCGACCCCAATGGGTCTTCTTCAGGCTAAGGCACAATACAGGTGAGAAAAGAATGCTGAAACTGGCAGGCTGGCTGAGATGTTACCTCGTGGAGAGTCAGAGTAAGAATGAAGGAAGGAGGAGGCCACTCCCCTCAATTTATAGTCTCCCGTGCTTGTCATTCTGCCTCATAGGAATTTGTCTGTTTTTTAACCCTTGGAGACTAATGAGTGTTTTATATTGAATTAAAATGAATTTGTTTTTAACCCCTTCTATTCTGGATTATGCCAATTAGAATTTTATAGTATTTTTAAGGCTGATTTAGTTGTATGCATTGTTACATCTATTAAATTACAAGTAGTTTTAAAAAAATAGTCAATGATGTTGTTGGATGAATTGTTTGTTGTTGTAGGCCCATAGATGTTTTTTAAGGACTTATATCATGTGTTTTTAACCCTTTGCACACAGTTATTGTTTGGAATTATTACCGTTTAATTTGTGTTACTGATAGAATAACAATGTATTTGTTTTTAACCCCTTGTATGTCAAGAATTGCTTTAATAGGTCTAGAATCATGTTTGCTTTTTAACCCCTTGCATGCCAATTGTTGTTAAATGAGATGTGACTTTTAATTGTAACTGATAGATGATATATAATTTTTATTAACTAAACGTCCACATAATTTGGGGTCAATCTGGTTAGGGTTAGGCAAGGGTGTAAAATGGTTAGGGTTAGGATAAGAGGTCGGGGCGTGGTTAGGATTAGGAAGGGTTAGGGTTAGGGGTTAGGAGGAGGGGAAAAGTCCCGGCTAACGAGTGTTAGCCAGACTGGTGCACGGTCCTGTGATGTGCCTTCAGAGTCCCCAGAAAGTGAAAAGCACCTCCAAACTCCACATTTTCCCTTGTAGCAGACACAAAAGTGCATTACCTCTGCGCTGGTTCAAAAAATTGGACTCCACGGGTCCTGTAGTTGTTGATTCTTTTATCCTTAATTCAGGCCGACTTGGTCCTGCTTCACTCTGCCTTGTTGCAACGTTTCGGAGGGCGGCTTGTCCTTCATCAGGCATAACAGAGTGGTATCTTTAAATGTCCTTTTCCTTAGGTTTCCCTTTAATTTGGTTCAAAAACGGTAAGTATTTTCCTTTTTTCCAGCTTGAGGTAAGTGTTTTCTTGCTCTTCTCTTCAGCTTGAGGCTTGTAATCAGAATAATATCTGCTAATTTTGTAATCTGCACCCTATTTGGGTGTCTGACGATTAAAATCCAATTTCTTAGTCTTCTCTTGCTTGAGGTTTCAGTTTTATATTTCCAGTGGGTCACAATAATCGCTGATGTTAAGTTTAGGTGTTGCAGCTAGGTAAGGATGTCCTCACTCTCCAGGGAAAGCTCCAGAATGACACACACGGCACTGGCTGGTTAGGAGGAGGGGAAAAGTCCCGGCTAACGAGTGTTAGCCAGACTGGTGCACGGTCCTGTGATGTGCCTTCAGAGTCCCCAGAAAGTGAAAAGCACCTCCAAAGGGTTAGGGAAGAAATTTTTGAAAGGGTTAGGGTTAGGGAAGAAATTTTTGAGGGTTAGGGTTAGGGTTAGGGAAGGGGAACTGAACCTGACCCCCATCACGATGGGTTAGGGAAGGGGAACTGAACCTGACCCCCATCACGATGGGAGACAGGAGGTGCACGGTCCTTCCCCCGGTAGTCCCTTCCCCCACGGTAAGAGAAGTGGTTTTGACGTCCGTCAAAACCTGTTCGTGGACGATCTTCATAGACCCCCTGTCCAGGGGGTCGGCGTCGTCCGCCGCGGCGAACCACGGTCCATCCGTCGCCATGAGTGAGACTCATGACTGAGTGGTCTTATTAAGCCCTCTATAAACTAAAAGCGAAAAAAAGGTTTTACTCTCTGAAATAACTGAAATTGTTTTTTTAAAAAATAAAACCGAAAAGATTCAAAATAACGGGAAAATTTATTTTTTTCGAACGAAAATTAAATTTAAGCTTTCTGTAAAAAAAGTAATTCTACTGTGTGTGCCCGTG